ATTGGTAGATACTGTACATAGGTTTTTTGGAGTATTTAGTGTCGTCTGAATAAATTTATTATTCAGATGGAACGGGACGAGTTAAAATGTTCCCATAAGAAATAGAAAATATTTCGCGATATTAGAATTCCCGATGTTCGCTTCGAATCATTTTGAGGAACGTATTAGCCTAATACCGCTTTCATCATTTAAATTAGTCACCAGCAATCGACGGCCCGCGAGGTCCTAATTTGACAACGTAATTTTATTTACCTGTTTTTTCCCGTCGTGTCATTATGTAACTCAAGGTAACCTGATATTCGTGACAAAGAACATTTAAATTAGACAAGTGAAAAGAATAAACTACTGTACAGTATATATTACTAGTTCGCATATCATTACCATATATTATTTTAGTACACTAGATACTAAAATAATAAATGCGAATGATCCATATATTTATATATTCTCTCTCAGACAGAGAGAGAGAGAGAGAGAGAGAGAGAGAGAGAGAGAGAAAGAGAGAAAAGCAATAAGTACAGCATTAAAATACAAAATTGATTTTCCAAAATAAATTCTGTATTCCCGATAATGCTTTAAATTATTAAAAGAGAAAATACTTGAAATACTTATAACGTTTTTATTTTATTTACTTTATATCGTTGAAGTGTATATATTATTACTTCAACTAATAGTTCTTATCGAGTAAAGAAAACATATTTATTCTGTATATTTGAAACTAAATAAATATAAAATAAAAATATTAAATTTTTACCTTTAATTGTGGATAATTCCATTCTAAAGAGTACTGTCCCCAACAGAGAAGATTTAAAGAATTGTTTACAGGAATATCCATAGTAGATGGTGCATCCAGATGAGGAGTCTGGAAAGTATCTGTGACCATAGAAAATTAGTTTAAATATCTATTTATTATAGTTTTAGAATAGTTTTCTTTGTTTAATCTTTTATTTTCTTATTAAATATTTTATATTTACTTTTAATACGTGAAAATATTTCATTTCATTTGTTTTTAATATTAAAAAAAAATTATGAATTTGAAATAATTTTATGGAAAGTTTTATATTTGTATTTTAAAAAATGTTTTGTATCTTGTTAATTTTTTCTACATAATTTTCATATAAAACGAACATTATTATGAGAGTGACACAGATATTTTTATTGCGTCATTTTTGCCAGCTTCTTGCAATAAACAAAAAGATCTGAAGATAAAAATGCAATCGAATTAATTATTTATTCTTTGACGTAAGAAACACAATAGCTCAAGATTTTAATGATTATTTTCATATCGTTATACTTTTTAACTATGTAAAATTTTAAAATATTTTTAACCTGAAGAGATCTGTAGCATCTGAAATGCATTTGAAACTTGTAGTTTAGTTATAGAGTAGTTTATTTGTATTTGAAACATACAAATAACATAATAATATACACGTGTGTACGGTACAGTCATACGCCGGTATNTTCGTAATAATTATTATTATTATAACTGAAATGATTAATATTAAAGATTTGATACAAAAATTTAAAATTCTTTAAATTATTTTAATATATATATAAATTGTTAATTATTATCTTTAACACAGCATATATATTGTATATAGACGCAATACAGTAATATAAAATAATATATTTACTTACTTGGCAATGAACAAAGTAATACAAAGATTATTTTCAATACAGGAGTATACATTATTTATTTATTCATTTACTTTTTAATAAAGAAATATAAGAAGCTTCTTTCGAACACGAATGTCTTTCAAATCGACGAAACAACGCTTACTGCTGGTTTTCATCCAAGGTCGAAACTCTCGATTGAACGCAACTCTCTAATAGAAGGAAATAACTCCCAACAAATTACAAGTATTCAAAATTTACCAAATATCTAAGCCGGAAAAAAATACATCTATGAAATAAATTATAACTTTATTTTAAAAAATTAAATTTAAAAAAAAAAGGTTATTTTTAGTTTTTCTTAAACATCTACAGTTCTGTTGAAGCTGTTACTTATTATTAATATATTATAGTATCTTAGAAACTAATTTGTAGTAAAATTAAAATCATAAAAAGTAAATTTTCAAAAATTATGGAAGAAGTTTTATTTTTACTCGATATGATTTAATCATCATAACTAATTGAGGGATATTTATTATTGTATTATTGATAAATGATAATTTATGAGCATATTTTACCTTCAAAACAAATATTGATAGACATTAATAATGATGTCTTAAATAATTTCCATTTCGTCCATTTTTCTGCTTTGACTGGTCAATCTTTTAAAATTGATACATCTCCCGGTTAAGTAAAGCTTGTGTCGAGCAGAATTAAAGTTATTTATTTTCATAAAAGTTTACAATTAATAATTATAATCTGAAACCATGTTGGAATGGATGTGAATCGTGAGTATGAAGATAACTTTATTATTGAATACTTGAGACCCGTTTAAATCTTTTTATCAACAAAAATATAATTGTTATCTTGATAACATTCATTTCTATTAGTTAAATCTAGCTGTTTATGAAATCTAACTAGATGCAAATTGCTCTTTTTTAAAAATTCCGCCTTATGGGAACTAAGAAATTTTCATATCATCGAAGATTCTGACATACTCGTAACCTGGCAGCCAAGTAATGAGAGACGAGACATGATATATCCATGAAAATTTATAATCTAAACTCAGAATAGAATTCTGATCCCTCGGCGCGCAGGGATCAGAAATAATAATTAACAGGCCAATTACAGGTGGTAAAAACTTATTAGCCTATACAGTATATATGAGTTTGTTACGGTCAATTATGTGAACCGTAAAATGACGTGAACGTCCGTTCATTTACGTGAATGACCAAACTAAAATGACAATAACGTCTTTGACCACGTCACTGTCCAAACACATTAAATCTTCACGTTTCATATGTTTTCAAGTAGCATTGTCGACGATGACCAGGCATTGACGTAAATGATAGTCATTGCTTATTGTTGAATATGTCGATTTTTTTTTTGGTAGTTCATTTTTTTCTAGAGCATCACACACTTACTGTTAAGGGTATTTACTTAGTTATTAATACAAACAAAATATATTTTTTTTTCGGGACCTCCTGGGTCAATATATAAAAAAAATTTAATGAATGTAAACTCTAAATAAGCGTAAACTCCAGTGTAGGGTCTATATTACGTTTCTACCTTTTGGATAAGATGGTGTAGGTTTACATGATAAACAAAGTCTACTGTATGGGCCTATTAATTTAATAAAATAACAATACCCAAAGTAAGGTTATAGTCCTTCCAACTTAATTTGGCAGTTGTCAAAACAGACTAAATTATTTTTCATCCAATTGTAGGGAAAGATATTGGTTATAAAGTATACCAAGTTTCATCAAAATACGTCAACGAGAACAGACTCTATACAGGTCTGAGTAGGCAACTTTAATTATAACCACTCTGTATTTAGAGGTATTTTTAGAGGTTTGTTCCTAAAGAAATTTTCTGTAGGTTTAAAAAAATTTCGTTGTAATTCAAAGCCGAAAATGAAACTTATCATCTGGCGTAATTTTGCATTATTGCTATTGATTAAAGGAAAAAATTGCTAAGTTTAGAGTTTTCTCCCAAATTTATGGAAGTCGCGTAAATAAAAGTTAGGAAGAAAATAATATACAGTATTTTGAAAGTTAAGTATGAACTGAAATTAAGAAATAGCTTGCTAAAATTTTATTCCTTCAAAACGAAAGACGAGAAGTCAGCAGCAGATGCAAGGGCATGTGAATGCAAAACTGATGACGCTAATACTGAAATATTAATAGAAAATGACATGTTAATCTATATATATATATAAATGGACGTGTTTGTCCCTATATTTCATTCTGCAGCCAAAACTACACATCGCACATGAATGGTGTTTGTGTGCGGTAGTAGCCCCAAGTCTCCCATCGTGCACTATGGTGGTTGTGTCTCGATAGCTATAAGGGTTTGGGAGATATGGGGGTTGAAAGTGGTTGACTTCAAAAATGTGTAACAATGGAAGTGTCAACAATGGAAGTGTTAACAATG